GAACTCGTTTTATCCACTATCGTTTCTTCCTCGCAGCCGCACTCCTCGCCCACGGCCTCGTCCCACTGTTTATCTCTCTTGCCCTCTCCCGGCGCGCTCTCGAGTCTCTCCATCTGGATTTACATAGATCCCGGGTCAGAACGAAGATTACACATCCGGATACATCGGTCGGATCTTGCCGGTCGATTCGCGTGCGAGAGGGCCGAAAATTCACGCGCACTTCCTAATACAGTTTTCGGACGCATCGTAATATACATATATACTATATATATGTATACTCTAGGTAGAATAGAGTGAATTTTAGGAATATGAAAATTATGTCGGCAGGGAGCAGTCGCAATTGTTCGAAGATACTTTTAATCCAGCCCGTCGGAAACATACGAAAAGTCGATGAAACGAATCTCGGTGAGAAAAATAAAACCTCATGGAACATCGAATATGCGCGTACTCTGTAACTAGAGACAAAATCAATAAGAAAGCTTAAATTTCATTTCATTCTCATATTTCTCGTAAATTCTAACTAAAGCGTCCGACATTCGTATCCGTTTAAATGCCGCGTTCGCTCTTCGTATTAACTGCGAGTAAATTTCAAACACGATTCATCTAAAAAGAGAAAAGAAAGCTGCACTTTTATCTCCTCAATATGCGCGTATCGGAAAATATTGCACTGGTAGACTCCCTCCTCTCGCGAGAGAAAAGTTTTCCCCCAACAAGCCTTTTTATACGAGACTCTTCAGGATACACTGGAGAGTCTCGCGGAAGGAAGCACACGGCGCGCGCGCGTTTCCTTACGTGTACGTGTAAAGTGGAATATAGCCGTCGTAAAGGGGAGATTTAAGTTCAATTAAAAATGTATTACGGCTGCGTACACCTTAAGCAGTCTCGTCGAGCGGCGATGGATTTTGTACCGGTCTCCTTGCAAGAATAATTAGCCCCGGTTCGATTACTGCGATACCATCGATCCATAACATCTTTGCGTGCTGATCTTTATTTTCCATTTTACTCGGTTTACCAGAAATCAGATTAGATAGCTATTTAAGGCCCACGTGTGGGAGTGTACTCATTATTTTTCATTTCAGTTTTCTGTGAATCGGGCAATGTTAACGCATGATTCATAACTTCAATTTAATCTTTACCGGGTTTGCGGATCTCTTGAAAGATTACCTCATGAAACTCGTCGTCCGTTGGACCGTAAGTTGGCTCACTAAAATAATGACGCAAATTTATATGGGCCCCGATACGTTGTGGGTCTTTCGTAAAGAAGCAACAAGGAAGTCTATCTGATTTTTCACACGAAATATGCTACTTTTGCATGAGGCCTAAATTAGAATTCTGCTTAGTTAAGGAAGTAGAACTCGTGTGCGACGTCGTGATTAAATCTAAGCAATGCTATAGCAATCGATTTTAAACATATATAGACGCACGAATGCCATATATTATTATGGCTCAGCATCTATTTGCGGTGAAACCTGAGTAAACATTTCAATTTTGATGTAAGTATTAATTATAAATCCGAAGTCAAATATGGAAACAGTTATAACGAAGAATATTATTCAATAGGATTTTCGTTGAGGAAAATTTGATTACTGCGCGAGAAATGAGGTATGGAAATGAGGAACAAGCAGCACGAAACAAAAGTTTAATTCAGTTAATTTCAGAAAATATCAATCTATAATAATAATTATTTTTTCAACAACGCATCAATTTTAAATTGTTGGTACTGATAAATTGTTTTTACCGAGAGGGGATTCTATTTGAATTTTTTTTATAAAATATAGTTATGAAGAAGTCAGTTAAATATGTTCAAATTGCGTTAGATGTAACAGATCAGAATGTACGAGAGGAAACTTATGTTTCTTCCAGTATTCATTTAAAAAATAGACGCGTCCTAATCAAGTTAAAAACTTATTTACACGCTTCCATTAGTGTAGGCAAGAAATTTGATTATCTAAAGCTAAATAGCGCGTCTGTGTACATTAAGTACCCGCTGCCGCTTTCATGCGGCCCTTTTCAATGCGAAGATCTTAAGAACATATAGTGGAACCAGTCTCTTCGAGAGTTTTAAAATCCTGGTCCAGCAACTTCTTTCACGATGTAAGTCATGAAAATATCGTTGATATTAATGAATATATAATAACTTTCTTTACATACGGATGTATAAATCTTCTTTTACAAAGGAGAAAGGAAAAATCGTAGGTCGTGTCTCATATGTCGCAAAAGTATATCTGAATTTATCTTATAGAGTTTAAAATGCAAGATTTATTTTTTTATTAATTTTAAATTGATTCTTTTTTAAGCAAAATAGTAAAACTGATAATAAACTGCAACAATTTTATAAACACAAAGATTGAAAGTAAAAGGACAAAGAGAGAGAAAGAGAGAGAGAGAGAGAGAGAGAGAGAGAGAGAGAGAGAGAGAGAGA